CCAAACTCAATATCTTCAAGGAATCTTGCATTTCCCATTTCAAAGAAAGATCTTGATGTGGGATTGTAAAACTTATATCCCAGAGAGCGTTCAGCGTAACTAAAGAAATAGCATCTAATCGTACTTAAGTCCAGTTTTCTTTCATGTGGCCTATAAGGCCATGCTTCAGCTGGACAACCCCAAATGTGCAAGTGCTTAATGCTAGGCTTCTTACCTGTCCAAAGCTCATAGGGGGTATTGGCAACTGCTTTGCTCGGTACCCTGTTAAGGATGTACACTATGGTCTTCAAAACTTCTTCCCAAAGTGACTCTGGTAATGAGGAATGGCTAATCATACTCCTTACCATATCCTTAAGAGTTCGGTTTCGTCGCTCTGCAACACCATTCATGCTGGGTTTGCCCGGCATGGTATATTGCGGAACTATTCCACAATCATTGAGAAAAATAGCGAAGGGACCTGGACGTTGTTATCCCGATCCATAATACTTTCCGTAGTATTCACCACAACGGTCAGATCTGACATCCTTTATTTTATTTCCAAGTTGAAGTTCAACTTCAGCTTTGAAAGACTTGAAAACATCCACGGATTGTAACTTTTCGTGTATCAAATATAGGTAACCGAATCTAGAGTAATCGCCTATGAATGTGATGAAGTACTGTTGTTCATTCCAAGAAGCCGTAGGGAATGGACCGCAGATATCAATATGTATGAGTTCTAAGACGTCTGTAGCTCTCTCGGCACCTAATTTTCTAATATTTGTTCGTTTCCCCTTGATGCACTCAACACAAACTTGAAAGTTTGTTAAATATAGGGGCTCTAGAATTCCATCTAACACAAGCCTTTGAATTCTCGGCTTAGAGATATGACCTAAGTGCTTGTGCCATAAGGTGGTGGAATTCTCACTTAATTTTCGCTTTGTACCGCATGAACTGGTTTGCAGTATTTCAATACTGGAATTAACACATCAAGCATATACAAATTATCAATCAAATAATTGAAACCAACAAAATTTGAATTTTGATAGAGACTAACTTTATTATTTTCAAATGAACAAGAAAATCCTAATTGGTCTAACTAGAAATAAAAATTAAATTCCGTCAAAAGGACGGTGCAACAAAAGTCTCAAACAAATCCAAATAAAACCCAGTTTTTAATTGTAATGAAAAAGTCCATATAGCCTCCACTGTAACTTTATTATCGTTGCCCACAAAGATGAATCTTTCAGTTTCACTTGGAGGTCGGCTCCACAAGCAACCCTGTATAGACATACTTATGTGAGAAGTAGCACCAGAATCTACCCACCAAGTATCCTTAGGTACAGAAGCTAAATTAACTTCAGAACAAACTAAAGTTAGAAGCACACCCTTCTTTACACGCCGACGGCATACTTGGAACACTCCTTCTTCATATGTCCCTCATTCTTGCAGAAGTAGCAGGAAAATTCCTCATCCTGCTTCTTTTGTTGCTCCTGCTTAGAAGGTCCTTCCGCAGTATCCTTAGCTCTCTTCCTTTTCTTGTTCTAAGAGGTTGACGCCGAGTGAGTACTCTCAGTCTTATCACGATGTTGCTTCTCTTCTTCTTGTACACGGTGAGATATAAGTTCATTGAGGGACCATTTGTCCTTCTGAGTGTCATAACTCACTTTGAATTACCCAAAGTGTGCAGGAAGAGATATCAAAACCAAGTTCATGAGCAAGTCCTCAGACAGCTCCAACTTAAGCGACTTTGAGTTTCGATGCGAGATGAGATATCTCCATGATGTATTTCCTTATGTTTCCTTTGCCCTTATACTTCATCACGACGATTTTAGCCAAAGGTTACTCGTCTCCGATTTTTCGTTCTTAGCAAAATATTGCTCAATTTCCTCAAGGAACTTCTTGGCGCATTCGCTCTCAGTAATAGAGCTCCGAAACACTTCCGGAATGGAACGTTTCATGATCATCAAGCACATTCGGTTAGAGCGATTCCACCTCTGAATGTTCACCTCATTGGGGTTTTCCAGAGTATAAGTGGGTCAATCTGAACGAAGTGTTAGATCCAAATCCATACAACCGAGGACAATCTCAACGGTTTCTTTCCAGACCTTAAAGTTTGTTCCGCTCAGCATCGGGATGTTATTGACTTGGGCAGAAACATTCGTAGCAATAGCAACAGAAACTGGATAGAGAACAAAGTAAATAAAAATAAGACATGCACAAATAATCCAAATTGGGTATCCATCTCAAGATACCTAGCACAACATTAATTCCTAGTCTTTGGACATAGAAATTAATTGTAAATGGTACTCTCAATATAATGATCAAATACTGACAATCAATTCTGTCATACAATAGCCTTTTTTTGGACTGACTGTTGTTCACATGAAAACATGAATATGAATTTATAAGGAAAAAAAATTACCTCAATTATTCTTAAACTTTAAAGAATTTCACAAAATCCAAACATTCTATTCGAGAAAAAATAATTCAAACACAAATGAATATAATATGTACAAATCCTAATAGTTTAACAACGATGACCGCTCTAATACCACTTGTTAGAAATATAAATCATATCTTAAATCGAAACAAAATCTAGATGCAAACATCTTAGATTAAAATAACTAAAAGTTTAGGATCTACATCATGCCAGAATATTAGGATTGACGGATTCGAGTTATATACCTGGATCAATTATGAACTATAGTTTACTGTTGCGGAATTATTACGACAATCGATCACGTACTGATAACACAAACGAAAGGGTGTAGTTTGTGATCTTCCTCAACCAAATCGTCTTATTTCTTCAATGGGACTGTCGTCTCTCTTCTAGATGGAGAGAAGAGAAACTATATATAATTTGGTATGTTGGGGACCATAACTAAAAAGGTCTTTGTATATTGCTCAATTAGAGTTCTCATAATCCCCTAATTATAACAATATTGGTATCTACTCAATTAGTTCATATTTATTAAATAGCTAATATAATTTAATTAAATATGTTGCCATTCAATATAAAAAATTATTGATTTTCCTAACCTCCTAAATATTTAGGAGTGCCATTAAATTAGAAAAATCGTTGATTTTTCTAACCTCCTAAATAAATTAGAAAACCGTTGGTTTCCTAACAATTTCTCCCAATAATATAATTTACACATAAATCTAAAACGGTTTTTTTTTTAATCACACATTCTTCAAAAAATCACCATTACAAAATTCTTTTTTTTTTCTTTGGTGAAAAATGGGACTCAAACAAGGGTTTTGTCATAAGTAATCACCATTATCACAATCCATTTCACCACCTTCACTGCCATCCATTACCAAGCCAGAGCATCCTTCATTAGTACACTTATCCATCCGTATCTTTATTTTGCTCAGTAATTCCAGGTTCATCATTCATAGGTTCTCGATATATATACATGAAAAAAAGTAGAAGTCCAGAGGTCCACAATCTCCACATACATATACATGAAAAAAATCAATGTACCATGTTCATATTTCACATTATTCGGTTTATAGAAAGCCTGCCCCCCTCCCCCCCCCCTATTAATTGCAAATTGTAAAGTAGTCCATATATTCAACTGCATATACATGAAAAATAAATTATTATTGGAACTACATCAAAACCTATAGCAATCAACATGTACACATGTAATAAATAAAAAATTGAAAAGCAATAGGTCATACTGAATGATTTGGAGAGGTAAAACAACGACACTAACCATATTGAGAAGCTTCATCTTCAAAATCTATCATTGTAGGAACAAACATCTTGATAAACAGAGGAGGCTGTTAGAATTTGGGTGTGACTCGAATTCCTTATTGAAATAATTTAAGAATTCTAATTTAAGTGCACGTTAAGAAGAAATCAAATTTGGAATATTGTTGGAGTCATATGTCATGTTGAAGTTCTATTTTAGAAGCACATTGGGAGTTGAAATTTGTTTTGGACTCAATTTTATGGTATCATACTTCATCAACAACTCTACTATATGGGTTTGGACATCCCCTACTTATTCCCTATAAATACTAGGCTCTTCTATATAATTTTATAGTGTGAGAGAATTATAGGATCCATTGTAATTTTCTCTTTTCTCAATTATTTTTGAGTCAATAAAATCTTTGAATTCCTCTGTAATATTCTTGTCTTTATTATTCTTTTACTTGATCATATACTTCATTATTACTATGTGCAAACAACGTGCAATGCACGTTTGCCTAGTTTCTTCTTTATTCTTTTACTTGATCAATTACTTCATTATTATTTGTCATATAACTTCAACATCTCAATCTGGTGGTTTGTTCCACAACAATTGGTATCAGAGTTATTTTGGTATCTTGTTTGTTTTGCAACAATTGGTATCAGAGCAATTCTGATATCTTGTTTGTTTTATAACAATTGGTATCAGAGCGCCGGTTCAGTAGTTCTGCAAAAGCGCAAGGTTTGACTTGTTCGAGGTTTTTTATTCGTGATGACTTCCATGAAGTATGACATTCCACTTTTGGATCGGAGTACTAGGTTTTCGCTATGGCAAATTAAAATACGTGCAGTAATCGTACAACTAGATTTAGATGATGCGTTGTTGGGAATTGACAAGATGCCCGCAACTTTGACCGCAGAGAAATTACGGAAGGATAAGAATGCAATTTTTCACATTCATCTTCATCTATCAAATACTATTCTTCAGGACGTTTTGAAAGAGAATTCAGCAACTGCTTTATGGTTGATGTTGGAGCAATTGTACATGACCAAAAGTCTGACAAGCAAGTTGAACCTCAAATAGCGTTCATACTCTCATCGAATGGTAGAAGGAGGATCATTGGAAGACCACCTAGCTGCATTTAAGGAGATCGTCGATGATTTGAAAACTTTGGAAGTAGAGTATGATGAAGAAGATTTAGCCTTAATCCTATTGTGTTCGTTGCTCGCTTCGTTTTCTTCATTTAGAGACACGATTTTGTATAGTCGTGACACTCTCACCATAGAGGAAGTGTATGATACTTTGTATTCAAAAGAGAAGATGAAGCATTTGATTTCTGAGGCTAGAGATGGAGAAGGTCTGGTTGCTCATGTTAGTTTTGGAAGGGACAGATCGAAATCTAAGTTCAGTAATCAAATTTGTAACTATTGCAAGAAGAATGGGTACTTAAAGAATGATTGCTACAAATTGCAAAATAAATAAATGATGGATGCAAGTAGATATTCAGATATTTCAGGCGAAGCAGACCTCGTGAAGAACGTTTTAAGTGGTGGGAAACTCTTAGCTATTTTTGACATTGAGTCTAAACCGGAAGATGATTGAATTCTTGATTCAGCATGTGTGTTTCATATGTGTCCTAATAAGGACTTGTTTGCTACATTTGAAACTGTTTTCAAAGGTGTCGTGGTTATGAAAAACAATGCATCTTGTCGGGTTGCTAGAATTGGCACAGTCAAATTGAAACTTTTGGATGGGACAATTAGAACACTTGGCCAGGTTTGATATGTTCCAGATTTGAAGAAAAATCTCATCTCATTGTCTATCTTTGATTCAAAAGGTTATGAGTTCTTTGGTGGAGGTGGAGATTTGAAAGTTTGTAAGGGTGCCTACGTTGTATTGGAGGGACAGAAAAGGTCTCGATTATACATCTTGTAGGGTTGTGCAGAATTTATAAGAGTCAATCAGCACAAGTTCAGCACCATGGTGGACATTCTGTTAGGTACAATACCTTTAAGAGCTCATAAATGGTCGGATTTGAAGAATACAGTTCAGTGGAGTTCAGGAGATATAGATAATGCCGCTTTGTTACCATCACCTGCGGTGTCATTGTATTCAATTGCTAGGGATGGACACAATAGAAAAGGATATGTTGATGCTGATTTTGTTGAACATGCTTTAAGTGGAGTAGAAGGTGTATAATCTAACAATGAGCCTTCTTTAAAAGTATTTGGTATTGATTCTACTTTGGGGTGTGTTACAGCCCATTTTGGTAAATTATAAAATCATTATGATTTTTTGGAATTTGAGATAATTTTGTAGAGTAGTGCTTGGATTCATTGGAAGAGGTGGAGTATTTTGTGTTTGATTGGAGAAATTAATTTTATGATTATTGTTGAAGAAGTCAGTTCATTCCTTGGTGGAATTCGTGTCAAGGTGGAGATTGTTAAAATTTGTGTATGACCCGAATTTCTTGTTGAAATAATTGAAGAATTCTAATTGAAGTGCACGTTTTGAAGAATTCAAATTTGGAATATTATTGGAGTCCTATATCATGTTGAAATTCTATTTTGGAAGTCCATTGAGAGTTGAAATTTGTTTTGAACTCAATTTTATGGTATCTTATTTCATCAACAACTCTATTAGGTAGATTTGGACATCTCATACTTATTCCCTATAAATACTAGGCTTTTCTAAACAATTTTATAGTGTAAGAAAATAGATTACTAGAATTATAGGATCCATTATAATTCTCTCTTCTCCATTATTTTTGAGTCAATAAAATCTTTTAATTCCTCTGTCATATTCTTATTTTCTTTATTTTTTTGTTTGATCAAATATTTCATTATTATTTGTCACTTAACTTCAACATCTCAATCCGGTGGTTTATTCCACAACAAGTGGTATCAGAGTTATTCTGGTATCTTATTTGCTTTGCAAAAATTAGTATCAGAGCAATTATGGTATCTTATTTGTTTTACAATAGAGGCAAATGCAAATAACATAAATTAACTAATTTCACAAACCTATTTCAAAAATTAAATTTTTTATATAACAACCGAACTACAAATGCTGAAATTTGAAGTTAGTTTTGCAAAATGATCTGTAGAATGGCGATGAGAGACATTGAACAAATGAAACAACTCCAATAATAGGTATATCCACCTAGGTGTTGTCGATCGTGGGTTCGTACCAACTCCAATCGTGGGTATATCCACCTAGGTGTTATCGATCGTGGGCTCGTACTAACTCCAATCGTGGGTATATCCACTTAGGTGTTGTCAATCGTGGGCTCGTACTGAGATGACTGTTGGTTTTTTGCGTGTACCCTTGTGATAAACAATAACTTTTAAGGTGTGCGATTGATCAATTATGTTGTGTCTTTTGCCCAAACGAGGCAAATAGAGCCTTTAAGAAATGGAGAGGCAAGGAAAGACCGTATTGCACATTCAAAAATTATTCATTTTGGTCCTCTTAAATAGATTTATCACCTCCACTAATGAATTGGACAATAAGGAGGTTTTTCGCATTGAAAGGGTCATGTAGGTGAGTATTTCGCCAAAATGAAAGGATAGAAAATATTCCACTATAGGGACAAAAGTCAGAGGTTTTTGTACTAATTACCCTAAATTCAGAGCAAATGCTTCATGAGAAGAACACTAATTTAGTAAATTTCACCACACTTATAAATATAGTATCTTTTGATTATTTTATATGTTATATGGATAACATAGTTAATTTTTCACAAGCATTTGTTATCATAATTCACGACATGCTTATCAAGATAAATAAATATTATTATAGGCAAAAATACATTGTTAGTCATCGAACTAAATTGAATATTTGTTTTAATTTGGTCACTCCATTGAAAAGCCAATGTTGGATGTCAAGTTCAACATCAAGAAACGGACATAATTCTTTAGTCAACTGAATTGAATCTTCTTCAGATCCGAATCTTCCTTAGGCGAGATTCGAGTTTGGACCAATCACAAATCTAACAGATTACCCAGATCTACGGCTCCAGACGCAATAAACAACACGTATTCACTACATGCCAATTAAAATGGAATCATTCAGCCGTAGAGGAAGGACCCATTTACTCAAATGTCAACACCACCACTTGGACGTTTTGAGAAATTTTCAAGGTTAAAATGGTCATTACGCAACGCAAGCCAAGGTAATTAAGGGAGACGTGAATAATACTTCTAGAGTGTGTTTGGTAGGGATTTTTGGGAGAAGAATTGATTTTTGAATAGTGATATGATGGGAAATGTGTGGTCGAAAAAGAAGAAAAATTATGTGTGGTTGAAAAAGAAGAAAAAAGTATAGATGTGATGGAAAATATTATTTTATTGAAGAATGTGTGGGTGAAAATGAGAATTGATTTACTGTAGATAATGAGATGTTCTACCAAACAGGCTCCTAGTCTGATTCAAATTTCCAATTTTTAAAGTATCAAATTTTGATACTAAGCTAATTTTTATTTGAAAGAAATAGGCGGACAAAACGAAAGTTGTTTACAGAACGATGAATAAGAACAACATAGAACAAAACAAATTCAAAGAATGAAACAAAAATAAAATAGAAGCCAAGTCAAATTATTATAAGAAACCGACTAAATTTGATTTGAATGGAAGAAACGTATTAGGTATGACTATTCAATGAAAGAAAGAATGTTGTTTCTAGAAAGAAGTTTTGAATGTCATCTTTCATTTTCTAGAAAAAAAGAGAGATATTTTGTACACAGGCCTTAAAGGTCACAGTAGTTGGCCAGGAGCGAGTTTTAGAAAGGAAGAACTAGGTAATTATTTTATTTTTTTTTTATTTTTCTTATTTCTTATGATAATTGTTATTAAAATTTCTAATGGTTACGTCACTTCATAAAAAAATTATTAATGTTAAATACTCATTGGTGCTAGTAAATTACACGTTTTACGAAACGACGTTATTTATAAAGTAGAAACAGCCCTACCAACCAGAAAAGATAATATTCATGGCTCGTGGTCCAAATCCAAGATATTAAAAGGAATATCCTCGGACAGCTCTTTTTACATATTAAAAAAAAAAAAAAAAGACCCCAAAAAGGAGATTTATAGGTGCATGGACGGACTATTCATGTGCAGTGCAAAGAAATAATTATTACAGCACATGGGGCAATGTAGGACTGATTTTTGTTGATTGGGCTGTAGATGTACCACACTTCTTTCCAAATTTTGTCTGTCAAAAATAGGTTAAAATTCCCCAGATGGTTCTCATTTGTATATTATGATTTTTTAATTGTAGTTCTAAAAATGCTAAAGAGAATGCAATTTGTGCGCAACATGTTTGGTTGCTCAACTAGCTTTATCAACTAATGAAAACTTATTTTTAAAAAATCAAATATAACAAAAATTCGAGGTAAATTACGAAACAATTTTTCTGCTTGTACGTAAAAATTCATACAGAAAAATTACAGATACTCACGTGAGGGGTGGACCCCATGTGAATTAAAATTGCAAAAAAAGGGGGACCCACCTATTTATGTGTATTCTGTATGCTTTGTGTGTATTTTATTTTTTTGTACACATTGGCTCTCTCATTACGAAACATCTCAACAAAAGCCATATTGTACTTATTTCTATTCGCTTGTAACAAGTACATAACATATATTTATTTTCATGATCGAAGAATATGCTTAGGCTATGTTTGAACCTCATTTTTTTAGTAAAATAGATTTTATAATATGATTTTTATTTTACTATGTTTTTTAAAAATGTGTGATCAAAATATAAGAAAAATTTTGAATTTACGCGTAAAATTATTTGTTAGAAGAATTGTGATTGCAAATGAATTAGAAGGAAAAAAAAATTAAAGAACAGAGGCTCTTAATTTCTGAAGGTGTATGGAACAACTTCATAGACTCTCTTTAATGCAATTATGCAAGTACAACATGGATAAATTCAGAGCATACGCGTGCGAACTAAAGACCACATTTGTGTGTTGTGGTTGGTTAGTTGTTATTATTATTATTATTTTTTGGGGGATGGGGCATGAAGAGGGTTACATGAATATAGTACGGGACCAGAGCCCCATCGCAATTCCTGTCCATCACAGATTTTTGAGAAAAGAGATGGGGACGGATTAAAAATTTCCGATTTTATCATAAAATAAAATAAAATATCATCAAATAAAAAGATTTAAGACGTGTTCGAAGAATTCGCTGTGGGGACTATGGTTCCGTCTATGTCTACTATTGGAGATCGAAAAAAATGTAGTGAAAAATTTCGTCATCCCTAGTACACACACATGTTAAAACACACACCATGCATTAGCACACATGTGTCCTACAGTGAACCTAGAATTAAGAGCATGTTTGTTTCCTACTTTTATGGTACGAATGCATTTTGAAATAATAGATTGATAGAGAACGTGTGTTGTTAATAAATAAGGAAAAATCTTAAATTTTTGTGTAATATTATTTTATTGAAAAAAGTATGGTTCAAAAGAAGATAGAGAAAAATGTATTTTAGTAGGGCAAGATTGGCTTTTTTTCTTTTTTTGGAACAAAGTTAAGCTATAATGCAGTGATGTTAAAAATTTAAAACTATTAACAACTCTACAATGGTCCCATACATATTTCCTACTTCGAAAGCAAGCACCTGATGGGCTCATTTTCAATGTTATCAATTCATTTATTTTCAATTTTACCTTATTTGCTACCAATTGCAACAATTTTACTATAATAAATACATTTTATTGAAATCAAATACAATTACACAAGTAAACACTCGAATTAAATATTATCAACTTCGACTAAACAAATTGTACAATTAAGTTCAACGATCTATTCGAATTAAACCACTCAAACACAAATATGCTAAGTCTAGCAGTTTGAGCCACATTAAAATTTTCATTATCATTCTTCTACTCATTTTCAATCACATATTTTTCAATAAAATAATATTTTCCATCACATCAATAATTTTTTTTTTCTTTTTCAATCACACATTCTCCATCAATCTATTATTTCAAAATACATTATTTCACAATAATGTGGCTCAAACACACCCCTAATAATAGAAAGGGAAAATTGCAGTAGCAGTT